ATGTGTTAGATATTACATTTTAATTATGAATTTCATGTAGTTATTCACTTATCTAAAATCTACACACTCACATTTTACATACTATATGTTGTACTTAACATATTTTAGCTATTTTAGAGGGTGCGTCAAAAACTTACGCTTTTACGCTTTGACTCTACGTTTTACGATTTTACCCATTTCCCGCTTCTATGTAGAATCGCGCTTTTAACAGCATTGCTTTCACCAACTATACAATATGGTGGTAAGCGGTGCGGCGCTCCTGCACCGCAGTAAGCAGTTATAATTTCAAGCACCTAACCTTTGTTTTGAGGACTTATTTGACATCACTCGGCCAACTTCGTTCATCGACTGAATTTGCACCCAATTTTTGACATTAATGGAGCCTAGGGTCACTTGATGAAATGATGGAAAAACCACAATGCACAAAAGAGAGCATTGTTGTGGGCACTAGTGCGTTGGTAACATTATTGCTTCATTTTCTGTCATTCATTAAGAAATAAAAATGAAGGACAAGGTGGGTGGGACTTGGGAGGGTGGAATCAATTTAAGCTATCATCATTGACAATAGGTATTGCATAATGAAATAAAACACCATTCTGCCATTCTGGAAGACAGTAAGTGAAACCTATAATCACAACATTATCTTGTACTGTTTCGTCTCTACGCCGTATTCTCCGAATTAGATTATCACAAAGTTTCTGATAGTTCACCCTGGATGGAATAGTCATCTGAAAACTTACACCACCAACAAAATGGACACCCAAATTGTCCTCTACTTTCTCTGATTTCCACCGAACAGGTAGTTCAAATCTTCTAAAACCACTACATAAAAAACAAACTCACTAATTACTAATTGGACAAAATCATCATGAAGAATACATTAAAAAAAATACGTCTCTTACTTATTATTAGCCATCTTCCCAGCACCCAGACAGCAACACCAGAGCTTCTTTCGGAACTTCTTTCATTTTTTTCGTGGTGAATAACCGAAGGGAAGGTGGAGTATATATGGTGATGGGTGGTGCTGGAGTGGAAGAAAAAGGCAACGACAAAGCCCCAGTCTGGGGCGCCGCCGCTTTTACTTCTTTTTAAGCGACAAAGCTCCAGTCTAGGGCGCCGCCGCTGGATATTATTGAAAAAGCAGCACTTAGCGGCCGCTCCTTAGTCTAAGGCTTTAGCGCTTTAAACATACCAAAAAACACAATATTCTTGTAAATAGTTTTTAAACCACTATATTCGTGATAAATAAAAAAACAATATTTAGAGAATTAACCCGTCAGGGGGTGTGTGGTGGTGTCTGGCGAGAGGGAGTGGCGAGGAAGAGGATAAGAAAGAGAAGGAAGCTAGCGACGGCGCCTGAGTCTCAGGCTTTGGCGCTATTAGAAATTTTTAAAAATTTCAAATAGCGCCAAAACCTGAGTCTCGGGCGCCGTCGCTGCCTGCCCCCCTTCAAAACACAATATACTGAGTCCCGGACGCCGTCGCTGCCTTCCCTCTTCAAAACACAATATTCCTGTAAATACTTTTAAATTCACTATATTTATGGTAAATAAAAAAAAAGACTATATTTAGAGATTAACCTACTCTGAACACTCCTCGTCGATCAGAGGTATCATTCCCGGGTTGAGTTAGGGGCAGATAAAGAATCACAAGATTAGCCAATCCAAAGGGTATCTTACAAGACTTTTTTTTATCGAATTACAGGATATCTCACACTTGTGCGAATATAAAGCCAATAATTGTAAGCGAACGCGTAGAATACAATATAGAATGGTAAGTAATTGTTTAATAAGCAGTCGGCCGAAGAAACGCCAAGTAATGCAGCCACTGCCGGCGGATCAGGGTTCTGCATTTTTCCTCTTGTTCCCTTTGTCCAGCTAGTTGGCCGTCCGCTTGACAAATGGGAAAAAAAATACAGAGTTCCACCTCACGATGACAACCCTAACCGGCCATTTTGATTACGGCAGGCAAATGCCGATTATGATAATGACAGGATTAGTTACTTTAATCTAAACCCCACCTCTCACTTCACCATCAACAAATGAATAGATTTGTAATTACTAGATCTCCTATCACGGAGGAAACCTAGCCGGCTGCAACACCGTCCATTTTTCCGTCGAACCGGAATCAAATTCGAAATTCGTATGCGTATTACAATAGTTATTGATACGATAATGATAGTGCATAATTCAAGTCACATAATTTTAGTAGTATCTTTCGATTTTTACGGTGACAAAATAAAATTGAATAAGAAGTACTAATAGTGTTGAAGCTTACACTCTTAGTATTGATAGTGTATTATGCTTTTTTAGACAACCGTATATTATGTTACAACAACCTTTAGTAATGACGGGAGAGAGGACTGTCATATTTTATATGGTCAAACTAATGGTTAATTAGTTGATACATTTATTAATTAAATAATTGAATAAAAAAACATTGGTGTCCTTTTATCTTATTTCTGACCAGAACAACACAATAACTTGAGACATAATCTATGCAATTAATTTTGCATTTACATGGTTGCAAGGGTTATATCGGTTAGCGATAATCTTCATTTTGACATTATGTTAATGTTTATTGGCTTTAAGGTGAAAATTGTGTTGTCGTAACTTTGTGTATTTGTTATTTACTTGAATTTAGAGTATCAAAATTGTGTATTCACATTGAAATTTAGGGTTTTAGGTTACTGGTTAGGTTTTTGGGGTAGTGGACCAAATAAATTGTTTAGATTTTTTTGCTTAACATGATTTGTATTGTCTGAATTAGGGGTGGCTATACGGTATGGTCCGGTTAAATTGGCCCGAATTGATTCGGTCCCAGTCCGGTCTTTTCGAGAATATAAGGACCAAAGATTTGATTGGATACAGTCCGTTCCCAATTTGGTCTTGATTTTAGGTTGAACTTGTGGGGATTCGAGAGGGGGGGGGGGGATTTGAGTGGCATAAGGCTTGAAAGGGTGAGGAGGTTAAATTTTGGGTGTTGGGCTCTCTTATCCGGTGTTCAGTCCGGTTCCAAATGATTTTTTTACCTCAAATCTAGGCCCGAAAATTGTATTGAATTGTTTGCTATACGATTCCGGTCAGGTCTCGGTCCAGTTTCGGGTAAAATCAAAAAGACCGGACGAAATAGCCTGCCCTAGTCTGAATCTCATTTTGAGGCATAATCCTCCATTAATATATGGTAGAGTTTTGTGTACTTTTCTCCATTTCAAATTTCCTGCAATGAGAGTGAAAATAGGAACGTCATTTTTGTCTTTACACATTTATTATTTATTTCATATAAAAATAGCAATATCAAGATTTGAACCCGGGTCTCTTCAAACAAAGATAACAATAACAACCAGCTACACTAAACAAATTTATTGCATCCTTTTTTATACAAAAAAAAGACAAAGTTAATCTCTGAAAATCAGAGGACTTTTTAATCATAATTAGCAAGCTCACTAAGTCTACCGTATGTATTTTTATCGAGTTTGATACTTCTATTTTCATAGTAGTGATTTCTCAATTTTAAATTCCCGCTCTCTCCTTAATTTTTGCTAAAGGTAAATGGGTAATTGGCTAACATGGAAGAAACTAATTATGTAACTACGTGTTGTATCCTTGCATTTTTCAATTTAAATTTAAATTTTTTGTTTTTTTATCTTTGTTCTTTTCTCTTTCTAACTTCCTCCGAAATTTCATCCATCGTGCAATAGTTTGCGCCTTTCACTTCCCAGTACAAGACTGTCATTGAAAATCAATCTTCAGATATCTCTTGGCACTACGGTTTTATTGTTGGGATTTTAAGCTGGGCGAGTAGAAGATTTCAACTCCGATATCAATTCATGGCGAATATAATGGAGTTCATCAATAACTGAAGTTGTAGAAGGAGGATTAGAAATTGAATTTTTGGTTGAATATATGCCTATTGAGATAGAAATTTGGTTGTACAACGAAGAGTGGTGGCTATTGGATCTTTAGGTTTATGGTTTTTGCAACTGTCACAACCTATTTCTATCTTAAAACGAGGAATCATTGATTGATTGTTTGAAATAAGTCGCTTCTTTATTCAACCTACTGGAACTAATAGATAAGGAGTGTCTAATTTTGCGCCTTATTACTTTGATCGAGTCTATTTGCATATTGGAGATAACCCTAATTTTTTCGTTTTCTCTCAAGTTGTGATGGTCCCCTCTTAGCTGAGCTTTTAGTATATAGATGACTTGAATCAACAACTCTCCATTTCTTTTTGATTAGTGACATATTGTTTCTAAAAGGAGAGCATTGAACCCTTTATATAGGATTGTCAGGTTTAAGATTTAGTTTCAAACTATCTATGGGGTGTGCGAGAATTTCAGTGAGCTTTTATACTCTATATTTCTTGACTGTAAAAAAAACTAACCAATAGCATTTTAACAGGGACTTAATTAGCATTATGAAAATGAGGTCAATGATACATTTTTATATTTTATATTCTTAAATGATTATGACATTTCTCCGAATCTTCGACCTATATATTATTTTTTATGTATCATCTCGATCGAATGATTATCAATAAGATTAAACGGGTTAATAAACTTAAAAGTAACATAAAAATAAAAATAATCAAATATGAGTATTCCGGCCAAAGGGCCGGGTTATACGCTAGTATTTAGTATGGTGTATAATTTGTGTTCCAACTCCTTAATATAAATCGTTAAAAAGTATATTTGATCTGGTCTGGACCAAATCATACCATTTGCCGGCTCTAGTTCGAAGGATCTTAATCGCTAATCACCCTCCTTTTACTTGCCGTGCTTTGCTAGGTTACCTCCGTTTCATATCATACATACATTGTCGGATGTGTCGTCAGTAGAAGAAGACCGTAGAACAAAGTGCTTTATTAGGTCCAAAAAGGTCAAATCTTTTCCTCCACAATAAAGGGATCACAAAATTCGGTTGCAGTTAATTTCGGTTCACGCGTTTTTGCCTGCGTCGCGAGCGAATATAAATAATACCCAAATGTTGTTGTTGTTGGGCCGCAGGCCCACGATACCAAATACCGCGTTATTATTCCCCACTTCACACCTTTTCTTCTCCCCCTCTCTGCCTCCAACGGACAAACAAACAACTCCTTTCTCCCCTCTTCTCTCTCCCTCTCTCTGTTTTCTGCTCTCTGCTTCCACTTTTCCCGGAGCGAGCCAAAAATCCAAGCCGGAAAACATGATCGCCGCCGCTCTCTTGCTGCTACTCCTCTTCCTCGCCGGAATCTTCAACCTCAAAGCTCACTTCCCTTCCAAGAAGCTCCGCGCCTGGATCCAGTCCCTCTTCCTCCAGCTCAAATCCGTCCCCCTTCCTCCTCCGCCACCGCCGCAGTCGATCAACGAGGAGAAGCCTAAGGCTGATCCGGTCATGAAGGAGGCGAGATCGGAGGAAAACGCGGACGAGGAGATAACGAGCGTGTTCGCGACGTTCGACAAGAACGGCGACGGGTTCATCACGAAGCAGGAGCTGAAGGAGTCGCTGAAGAACATCCGGATCTTCGTGACGGAGACGGAGGTGGAGGAGATGGTGGTGAAGGTCGACTCCAATGGCGACGGGCTGATCGATTTCGAGGAGTTCAAGATCCTATGCCGCAACATGGCCGGCGCCGGAGGGGGAGAGGCGGAAGCGAGGGCGTCAGATCTGGAGGCGGAGGAGATCAACGGGGGAGTTGGAGGAGGAGGAGATGAATTGAGAGAGGCGTTCGAGGTATTCGACAGGGATAACGACGGGCTGATCACGGTGGAGGAGCTGGGCTCGGTGCTGTCGTCGTTGGGGTTGAAGGAAGGGAAGCGGATGGAGGCCTGCAAGGAGATGATTCGGAGAGTCGATGTGGATGGGGACGGGATGGTGAATTTCGATGAGTTCAAGACGATGATGAGGAACGGCGGCGGTAAGCTTCTTCCGGTGTTCTGATTCTGATTGATTGATCGGCTTCTTTTGATTTGATTCGTTCTCTCGTCGTCGGCGGCGGTGGCGGATTCTGTTTTTTTTTTCAATTTCTTCGTGGGGGGAGACTAAAAAGTCTCGGAGAGCCGTTGTGAGGGGGAAGAAATTGAAGGTCAAGAGGGAGGAGTTGGACTGTTGTGTGTTCTACAAGCTACAAAATTAGGGATGAGTAGAATTACTATATGTTTGTTTTTTGTTCATTTTATTTTTAGAAGTTTTTTCATGGATGGATGGAGAAAGTAGGATTTGGTAGTGAAACTTATTAGGAAATGGAGTTTAGTGTTTTTGATGTTTTTGCCTCATTTCATCTTCCTTCTTCTTCCTCCTCTTCATATTGTACAAATAACAAAACTTGATAACAAGGATGTCTTTGTTTACGTTGGCGATCTTGTCCAATTAGAGTATAACTGAATTTGATATTGAATCCGCCGTAAGATATAAGAAATTAAAAGCAAGCCAAATTGCATCCACTTCAAAATGATTTTGAAATCGATGTCTTCCTTTTCTATTGAACCAGTGTCATTGAATTCGGAAGCTCTTATATTTGAAATCAAATAAGAAGATTGCACCTCAACAAGTGAGGACGCTTAACTGGTTCAACCCAATACATTCAATATTGGCTCGCATATGATCAATTGCGATTGTTAAGTGCAAACCCAATTCAGTGGTTCATCTATCTCACCCGAACAACAAGGCAGGAGCATCGTCGACCGAAAACTAACAATTCAAAAGACTCGGTAGCTTAGTGAAGTATGTAGCGGATAACTCGTTTTGTCCCAACACAATCCGCCATGTGGATCAAATTAAGGGCCTAATTCGAAACAGCTAAGAAAAGAATAATCAATATATCAATTTTAGTCCTCAATGTATGATTCTTTGTAGCTCTTTTTGTCAAGGTCAGAGACTCAGAAAGATAGATTCCGAAGCATGCTCAAGAATTACACTGGTAAAGTCCAACAATGAAGTAGTGCCTAACGAATATCTTTTAGTGACCGCAAAGAGGAGGTTTGCGTTGCGCTTATCCTAAGAAAAAAGTTCCCAAACTTCCAATCGAATTTGTCCCTTTGTAATCCTATTCCTGTCCATATTCTGAATGGGATAAGTTGGCTTACAAGTAAAGCATCAACGTTTTGTAATAAGTGTACGCGTTTGCAACTAACTTCACTCACCCATAAGTCCACTCGTTAAGTAGTGGGGAGGGAGAATCTTTTTGCAATTAGATTAACCCTCCACTCCTAACACATGTGCGCTGCCCCTTTCCAAGGTCACCCCACTCTACAAATATTATAGTTTTATTGGGTTTGGATACAAGAAAAAACGAGAAGCCGGAAATCTGAATGAGTAGGATTACAAAAATTAAATTTTAGCGATTTGTATCGAGATAGACTTGGGGGATGAGTGTTCAAGCGTTACCAACTACTATGCCTATCAAATTTATTACAAATTTTTCGTGTATTCTTGTCTGCATGAAATTAGATAATAGGTGGCGAATCTTACATATCGATGAACTACAAAGTCCACTAGATTAAGGATTGTTTGTTTGTTGGATTTGACAAAATTTTGGATTTGAAAAATGGTGGATTGGAGATCAATTAATACCACTATACATTTGGAAAAATTGCTCTTTGCTTGTTGGATTTTTTTGACAATTAGATGCATTTCATTCATAATCGATGTTGGTACAAGCTGAGCCTATTATAGAAGAGGTGAGATTAGATCAAGAATATGGATCCATTGAGCAAGAAGAGTTCCTCTCGCTGATTCTCTCGCCACCCAATCTGCGCTTTTGTTGTTGCTTATTGGAGTAAAGCAAGCCTTGATTCCATCATTTGACAAAAGAATGTGTCGCATACAATGAAGCCAAGCTCTGACATGCCATGGCCAGGTAGCCCCTTGTCGAAGGAGAGCATCGGTGAGAACTTGACAGTCAGAGTAAACAATTGCAGACATTCCTGAAGAATTAGCAATTTGGAGCCATCGACATTGAACGAAAAAGGTACCAGCCTTTCCATCGATCACTTGTCCATGGCCGTCATGAACGACATGCCATAAGCCGCCTACTGTGATTCCGAGACAAAAGCTCCATCACAGTTAATCTTTAATTGTAAGAAACCAGGCGGTGGATCAAGTTGAAACGAGGTGGAGGGGGCTGAGTAGAGACGGTCCTTGGGGACGGGGGATATCGTTCCAATCAGTGAAGTGGTTGACTGTCATCGTTGTAGTAGTTTAGATTTATATGTATGGAACACAATGACTTTGTTATCTTTAATATGAACTTGTATGGAGATATATGAATCACATCCCTTTGTGACTTTGTCTCAAATCCTATCTCCGCACTAGGATTTTCAAATCCATGGATTCTCGTATTTGGCACCACTATAACTTGCAAGGGAACATGGAGTCAATACTAAATCCTTTGATAAATTGTATTGGGTAACAAATCATCACCACAATTCATCCACGAAACAAACGACCACTTATTTCCAAGAATGTGGATTTTCAAATTCAAAACATATAATTTCTTAAAAATTTCTTACATGAAGTCTATTGGATTGTGGCACATATGGATGGGGAAGGCTACGATGGCAATTTGGACCTATCCCACTAAGTATTACCCGACCAAACATGTAAGAGTAGATTAACCCACCCTGCTTCATACCAGCACAAGTGTTACCCGTCTCATTCCGTACTTGGTGGAGGGCAGCCTGACAGATATAATATTGAGGTACCTACCCTTCCCGCCCCAAGTGCCCTAACAATCTAAAACCGAAAGAATCAATGCATGAGCACCAACAACGAGCTGTGGCCTGTGGAGCAGATAGGACACCCTAGCAAGCCAGGGGAGAAGTTGGATCCCAGAGAGCTCTCACATGGACACTGGTCCAAGTGGTTAACAGTTAGGTAATCCGGTTCGAAGCACAGATCACGGTAAGTCAACTTATAATGCAAACCTAGATCCTTGTGTATAACAAACCGACGAGGGTTCATTCTGCTATTATTCGGATAAGAAATTAAAATGTCTGAAGTGTATAAGATTCACACGCTTGAACAACATTTTAAAACGAAGTACAGACAGGAATAAACTACACCGCAAGCACACATCCCAGACGCTTGATAAATGATATAGGCCATCCAAGTTCAATCTTGGCCAACCTTTAAGGAAAGAATCAAAGGAAGAACTGAAATCTATGCATGCCAAATACCAAAATATAAAACATACTCGCAGTGCATGAGGGGCGGACCGTCTATTTCGATAAATATCTGCTTCAGCAAGTTGTATGTATAATAAAATTAGAAGACATCGGGATGGAACCGCCCGGGGATCGAGCTGCTTTGCTGAGCCTGCTTGAGGTGCATCGTCAATGCATAGTTGTTCACCTGGCAGAGAATTACAACCCATGTGGGAAGAAGAATTAAAAAAAAAAAAACAGTTTGGGATACTGTTGAACTAGAACTGGTTTGGAGTTATCTTAAAGAGAAGGGTTTCCACAAACCTCCAAGGTTCTCAATTGGTCCTGATATTGAGCCACCAGCTGCTTCAAATGCTGCATTTCCTGGTTCCTGTCCTCGAACTCCTTCTGCCGCATGTGTTGAATTGACACAGCTCGCTTGAGGATAGTGTTCTCATGTATGAGTAACTGGACTTGTTCCTTCAGCTTTAGATTTTCCTAAGAAACCAAGTGCGAATCACGACTTATCAGAGAAGGAAGGGATTTGAGCTATAACGGTTTGTTGTGACTATGGTAACTAGAGGACAGTACTACAAGAGAGAAAATTGAAGGGGTTGGAGGGATGAACTGCCAAAGCAACTAACCAGTTGAAAGTTTTTCACTGCTTCTGCACCTGCACGGGCATAGATTGATTTCTCAAGTGCTTCCAGAGCTCTTGATGCGCGTGCTTTGGCATCATCCATGTTGGTGGCACTAGTCATTTCTCTAACAAACAGCTCAACCCACTCTGCACCATCCATTTGAATATGTGTTGGGACTGAATGATCCTCAGCTGCTGGAACCTCTGGATTGGTTAGTCCAACGCCTGCAATGAAGTTGGTCAATAGAAAATCATCAGACTCGTAAATCAAGCATCACAAATGTCTAGATAATGCATATGTAGCAATATGCATCTGTTAATGTATCATACGTATGGTTTATATGTCTATATATGCACAAACACGCCTTATCTCGTGAAAGCCAGTGCCATATAATGGAATCCAACAAATATAATTTGATGAGAAAACAGTAGCTGCTGTGAACCAGATGCAAAATATAAGCAAAACACAAGAAAAGCAAATGCATTTTGCAACTGCTGAAGAACACTAATAAAAGCAACAAATATGAAGTTTAAGACAACAATGAAGCTTCTCCATAGAACACAGACCAAAACACGACAGTTTGCATCTTCAATTCCTTCACATACTAGGGAGAGTGACAAACACTTGCAAGTAAAGCAAACGAACTAGTTAGGAAAACCAAATAGAAAGAAACACCCAACGAGAGAAATGCATGAGTTGGTTCAGATTCAACACATTCACATTACTACCAAATATGCATTAAACTGAAACAAAAGCCATTGCCTTTCATGATCATATCCTCTCGTAAAGAGCAGTTCAGAACCATACAACAACGTGCACATGTAAACTATAGGTCAGAATCCAATTAAGCCAAGAATGATATTTCCCGACCACTTACAAAAGTTCGAAAATAAGCATACCTTGGACATTGCCATTAGCATCAAGGAGTCCATCACACTTCCCACCATCAGAATCCAAATTCTTATCAGCCGATCCTAATCGAAGCTCATTCAAGCTCCTTATGGCTGAATCCAAATCCTCCCCACATTCTGCAAGTGCTCTCTCAAGGAGCTACAAAATCATCGCAAACACAACAGAAATTTGAAGTCGCCTACGCCCCAAAATTGAAATGAAAAATATCCCCACAATCAACATTGAGTCCAGCCACCCAATAACAGGAAAAAATCAAGAAGAAAAAAAAGTTACCTCCTTGTCCATCTCAGGGAAAATAGCGGCGAGCTGCTCGACCAAATGCGCAGAAGAAGAGGACCGCGGAGGGGTGGAGAAGCTGCTGGCTGGGCTGGGTCTCGGAGGTGAAAAACGAACGGGGGAAGACGAAGAACAACGGATTCTCTTGGTAACAGGCGGGCTTGTCACATTCAACTCTTCAAAGAAGGATCTCTTCCCGCACACTATGGCAGACATAGTTTCTGATCGAAACCTCTCTTCTTTCTTCTTCCTATCTCTCTCTCTCTCGCTCTTGCCCCCTTTCCCCCCTTCTAGTCTAATCTTACCTCCAACCCCTTCGTCCCGATCATACAGCACCGACCGATCTAATCCCAACACCACCAAAAAATCCCTAATTTCTTCCCAACAAACAAAACAACGATTTCACTCAAATCACAAACTACCTATCTCGCGATGAACAATAATTTAACCGATTCGATCGAACGGGGAGGTCAAAAGGGGAGCGTCGGATTAGGGTTTTTGTCTCTGGGAATTGGGTGTTTGGCTGCCGTGAAAGGAGAAGGAAAAAGGTTGCATCTTTTCGTTTTCGTTTTCGTTTTCGTTTTCTCTATCTAAAACGTAAAAATCTATTCTTTTCTGGTCGTCTGTTTCTCTCTCTATTGAGCCAATCGCCCGGTGATTCGAATAAGTTTCGGAAAATCCACCGCCGAGGCGAAACGGTGCCGTGCCGTGGCAGGCGGCGATTGGTGCAAAGGTGCGGGTTTTCGGCAGAGTAGAGTACACGTAAGGAATATGACAAAAGTCGTCGAGCGGCAGCGGATTTTGTCTACAAGTCTGGTGGGCCGGGCCGAATGGTTTATTTGATAAACGAGGAATGGAATGGGCTCGCTGGAGTTAGTGATATGTGGGCTTTGTAGACCGTGGGTATTGTTGGGCCTCTGAAAGCCAGACAACTATGCAAAGTTCTCCGTTGTACATCAACGAAAACCAAAGCTCTGATTTCTCAACGAAGACGACGATTCTTTGTGGAGTTTGCTCCCTTTTAAGCTCTGATTCCTTCTCCTGAAACTGTTGCCTATTTAGTGTTTAGTAGCAAGGAAGCAAACATTGGTTCATATAGAAAAAAAGTAAAGTCCTTGGTGATTGTTAATATGGGGAATCTAATTATTATATAGGTTGACCATCAGCACGTGCTGACATCGTTGGATTGTTCTGTCCTGTAATATGTTTTGAGTTATTGGATTGGATCCACGGTTGTACGTTTGTGAACTATGATACAACATCAATTCAATAATCGAGTATGTACGAAAATATCCAACAATACCAATACACGTTAATTGAAATTAAATTATAATTACAATAATGGATATCTAACCAGAAAGCTTTAATAATGTTTTTGCTCCTGGCTTGGCTTTGCTTCCTCCACATATACATAACTTGTACAACCATACATAAAAATGACCTTTCATAGTACACTCAATCTTCCCACTACCTTAGGAATATGAAAAGAAACTCCCATGTCCACATATAAGAAATTGATTTTCTTACCCACCAATTGTGCTATCTATTTCTTCCACCACAAACTTTGCTCAAATCCCCCAAGCACCAGCAAAAGGGTAAACAATTTCCAACCCAATCTATGTTAATGGTGATCTCCAACACTTCGAGAATATGTCTCCATGGTGATGGCTCCCTTTCTTGTTCTTGTGCTGTTTACGTCAAAGAAACCAAAGCTCTCATTTCTCGACAATACGATGTATACGTGGTCAACCCTACTAGGTAACAAAGAAGAGAAAAGGGGTAACATAGCAATGCGTGCTTATTATATAGAGAATCTCATTACTAATATATATGCGGACAATCAATACATGCTGACATTATTGGATTGTCATGTTTTGTAATATGTTACGAGTTATTGAACTGGGTCCACAATCACATCTTTGTATATCATGCTCCATTGTCGATCCAATATTTGTACACATAAAAAAGAATCCAACCATATCAATAGTCACCACTAATCTAATTTAACTTATGATCATCATAAAGTGATTAAGAACTAAAATTCCCCAAGCTTTTAAAGATATTTTGCAAGTGGGCCCCGCTTTGCTTTTCCCCTCCATATGTATGGGCTGAGTGTGCTGTGGGGGCCCAAATAAATGGCCCGCCATACGTACTGGGGAAGAATCGGTATGTCTCTTTTACTCTCCAAGTTGCAAAGCATGCACAGTGCTGAAAATAGAAAAAAAGGAAATTATACAGAAATCCAGAAAGAAAACCACAAGAGATAAGAATAGCATCTTGATTACATTTTTATAATTATCACTATCTTTTCACTTAAAACTAGGGCTGTCAGTTCGTTTGCCGGTTAGCGGCTAACTGGAAACCGAAAAAAAGGTGGAGGTCGGTTGTCGGATGCGTTTAGTGGTTAGGCGGTTAGCCGAAAAACCGACTAACAGACGCTAAACGACCCCGTTTTGGCCTAAATAAAACCACCCACCTCTCCCTAAACCCTAGCAGTTGTGAGCAGCCCTCCATCCTCTAATCCTCCCCCATCCTCCTTCCTTTGACCTCTCATTCCTCCATCCTCCCTCCTCCTCCCCCATCCTCCCTCCTCCGATGACTCCGGCCGCCCTCCCCTACCTCCTCCGCTACCTCTCCTTCCACCGCCACCACAACTTGCCGCCCGTGCGCCTCGCCGCCCTCCCCTGCCTCCGTCGCCATGCGCCTCGCCTCCGTCGCCGCGCGCCTCGCCTCCGTCGCCGCGCGCCTCGCCGCCCCTGCAGATCTGTTTGCATGGGCCATGGAGAAAGAAGGTGAGAGAAGAAGAAGGAAGGAGAGAGAAGAGGTCTGGTGGAGGAAGGAAGGAGAAAGGAGTAGATAAGGAAGGAGTGGTGGAGTTTTTTTTGTTTTATTTATTTATTTATTATTTTTGTGGAAAATGTATTTTTTTCTGTTGGCCGGCTAACCGATCCTAAAACCGGAACCGACCGGTCGGTTGGCCGGCTAACCGTGACCTCTCTTCGGTCGGTGGTCGGCAGATATAGGGGGTGTCTTGGTTTAACCAATAACCGGGTTTTCGGTTAAACCAAAACCGACCGACTGCCACCCCTACTTAAAACGCTTCATAAAATTTCCATCTTTTACTTTGATGGCTGTGGTGAGGTGACTTCTCGCTTCGCTAGTGCCTCCCATCCCCTAATGAAGGTAGGGTCAAACTTGTAACATAGGAGCTTACCACCAGACCCTCTAATACACACACCACAATCTTTAATATTCCATAGCTAATTCTTTGGCTTGATTTACTCTTACGTCTCAACTTCTCGTGCTGATTTAGCCATTTTACGTTACTTAAAGCCGATGTTCCTCTAGAGCTTCATATTGGCATCAAGCGTGCAAGATAGACATTCACTAGACCAATTATCAGTTTATCACACATCAAATGCTCATTCGCTCAAGCAACCAAGAGTAGACATCAGGGGCTCACTTGTCTAAGCTTCAAGATTAAATGCCCATGTAACCATACATTATTTACTAAACTGTGTTGAACTCAATGGTCACCGGACTCGACATCATGTGGGGTCCAAATCGCCATCTACGAACCTTTGATCGTAACGTGTTGGGACTTTAGAATCCTAATTTCTATCTTAAACTAAAAAGTGGCATCACTAATCATTTAGCAATTGATTTTATACATTATGTGTACCAAATAACACACAAAACCCATACAACCAACCATACATAAAATTTATATTGTCATAGCAATCCCATTTTCCCCACTAACTTGGGAATATATCCAAAAAAAGCCTCCCATTCCTCAAAGAGGAGAGGTAGAGACTAGAGATTGAGTGGTGGCGATGCTAATATTGCACTCAAATATGCTATTTGACTATCTTTACTCATATGGGATATTGACCAATCAATAATGTAAAACCACACCATAGAATTATCTAATAGTACTCAATTTGGGCCCTCAATTTAGGAGAAAAGTACTTTAGGCGCAAAATTTTTTAAAGAAAAGGAAACCCTTTTTGTATGTGGAAAAAGATACTTATGTTATAGATGTTATAGAGAGAGGGAGGGAGTTAAGGTCTCTTAGTGACAAAGTGATAAGAAGACAATTATATTGTTGGACAAGAGAAAGATTGTTTGATACTAAAAACTAATTCTAATAATCATGACTCCATATGCTCCTCTCTTTTTCCCCATCCTTTTTTGTTTTGTTTGTTTAGTTGCTTAATTATTGTGTTTCAGAACAAATGAACAATCTAAGAGTAACTCTAACCTGCAGGGAGGTTAGTTACAAACAAGCAATCATTAACTGTAAATTTATTACTCATAGTAAATATAAGTACATCTTTGTGATTTCAAAGAGTTTCAAAGAAGAACTCAAAACTTCATATATAATCACATGAAAAGAGATCTTCTTTGTTTTGGTATGCTTGTTTCCCGGGAAAAAAAGACCTTCCTTTATGGGTCTGACCCAAATCGAATTATCCTCTGTTCAATACATCAAAACACCTATGGAACCTAGGGATATCGCCTTATCATTAGGAGGGGCCAACTCTCTCGATGCTACAAAATCCTTTATGTGCTCCATGACCAATTAAGAACAAACATTATATCAAAGCACAATTATGAAATGGGGGATTCATTTTGGGCAACCACAAATCTAAAAACATTACATATGAGTAAATTTTATCAGTTGTCCTCAAAAGGAGACGGTATACGAGAGAATTAGATACCATGATCAAGATGAATTTTCCATGGCCAACCTAGCTAGATGTTCTTATTGTAGACTACTTTGGGTAATTCTGCACAAGCAAAACAGGGGAACAAAGGGAGGGAAAAGCAGAGAAAGGAAGAGATAGGGGGCAAAGGCAATTCCATATCCCCCACAGAGAAAGGTGGAGGGAAAGTGAACCGGAAAAAAAGCTCTTTTTGTTCACCATGCGATGATGAGGGTGATGATCATCATAATGCCTGCAATCCCCAACAGCAGCAAGCACCACCAATACCACCACTAGCACCCTCTCCAAAAAGACACGACTCTGTTCTCTAAAACTTCAAAGCCTCTCTGTTTCCTTGTTCGACCTCTCTTAGAATAAAAGAGGGGGGAAAATGAGCAATCGCAGCCCCAGTTACCAATCTGACCCAATGCAATCATGGTGAAACCCCAAGATCGAAAGGAAGGAATTACAGGGAGAAGCTTGGTTTTGGAGCTATGGCGAACAAGTGTGGTTGTTGGTCTGTTCTAAAACGAGGAGTTAAAACCGCTGCTTGCTCATCCTCTGCTGCCAGAGACTCTGCCAACGCCATCCCTCGCACTAGCCTTGTTTACGATGCTGGTAAGAGAAGTTAATTCCTCTGTTTCCTCGTTGAACTCTGTCTCTCTCTGTTTTTCCTTTCCATTACAGTAAATCACCGTGTCCCCTAGTAAGCTTCATTTCATTCATAGAGACGATTTTTTCATTGGGTTTTGATCGATTATTCGGAAAACGGAGAATTTCGCATCAAATTAGAGTAAAGCGACTTCCTTTTTTCTTCCTTCTTTTGTGACTTGTAAAAACACTCTGTTTTTCTTTAAGCTGCAGCTACAGAGACGAGGTACCTGAACGCCAGCAACCGAGAGCTCTGCGCGCCGAACGAAGCAAAACTCTCCTCCGACAATCCCGATCCGCCGCCGGATGAGGGGAAGCCTCCCCGGCCGCTGCTGCAGTTCACCTTCCAGGAGCTGAAATCGGCGACGGGGAATTTCAGGCCGGACAGCATTCTAGGCGAAGGCGGGTTCGGGTACGTGTTCAAAGGCTGGATCGAGGAGAACGGTACCGGTCCGGCGAAACCCGGATCTGGAATCACGGTGGCCGTCAAGAGCTTGAAACCTGATGGCTTACAAGGACACAGAGAATGGGTGGTTAGTTAAAGAATGAAGAATCCAATTTGCCTGTACGCTCCTCTGTTATTGATTATGACTTTTTTTTTATGCAGGCTGAAGTGGATTTTCTAGGACAGCTGCACCATCAGAATTTGGTGAAGCTGATTGGGTATTGCATTGAAGATGACCAGAGGCTGCTTGTTTATGAGTTCATGACAAGAGGGAGCCTTGAGAATCATCTCTTCAGAAGTTAGTTTCTGTCAGGATTTCTTGTTTAGAAACTTTGGTTTGTTAACCATGTGAAGCAGAGGAAAGCTGATGGTGGTGTCATAATTCTGTCTTGCCTTTGAAGGGACAATACCTTTGCCATGGGTTAAGAGGATCAAGATTGCACTTGGAGCAGCGAAAGGATTGGCTTTCCTCCATGGAGGTCCTGAACCAGTCATCTACAGAGACTTCAAGACCTCCAACATTCTGCTTGATTCAGTATGTCTGATTGCTGTCTACCTACCTGCAATATGCTTTTTTAGGTTTCAGCAACGGGGTATTCCTTAGGAGGCTGAGTGATGTATATATGCATAGTGTCCTCATCTGTGTTAGTAAATGATATAAGATTTATAATCGAACATCCAACTATATTTGATATTATAGGGACCAGTTGATTTATGACATGGTGTCATAACTTTTTATGATCGAGATGTCTTCTATTCGAATTTCGACGATCCTCTTTGATAAGCACATGGTATTTAGATTTGTGCAAAGTTTAAGCATATGAGTTAACTTTCGTTTGAGAGAATGTGTTAGTATATGGTATAAGATGCATAATTGAACCTCTCCAAATAACTAGTGAGATCAACTGGTCCTTGATAGTCATATCTCATTTCGTGCAATAATTTTCTTCCCAATAGAAAGATTGAAGGTATGTGAAGTGTGATCCAACAACTTCAACCTTTTTGCTTCCTCTTGATTTCAGGAGTACAATGCAAAGCTATCGGATTTCGGCCTGGCCAAAGCAGGTCCCCAAGGAGACAAGACTCACGTCTCGACTCGAGTTGTGGGGACTTACGGCTACGCTGCTCCAGAGTACGTCATGACGGGACACTTGACATCGAAGAGCGACGTGTATAGTTTCGGAGTAGTCCTTCTGGAGATCCTGACAGGGAGGAGATCCATGGACAAGAAACGACCGAGTGGAGAGCAAAACCTAGTGGCTTGGGCAAGACCCTACTTAGCAGACAAGAGGAAGCTCTACCAACTAGTGGATCCTCGCCTCGAGCTCAACTACTCGATCAAGGCGGTCCAAAAGGTCTCTCAGCTAGCCCACAATTGCCTGGGCCGAGACCCAAAGTCGAGACCCACCATGGATGAGGTGGTGAAGATGCTCACTCCTTTGCTCGACCTAGGCGACCTTGCCATCCTGTCTTACCACCATACTAGGTTGTCACAACAGGGGAGGAGAACAAAGAAGAAGTCTAATGAAGGGCTTCATCATCATGGTCATCGGTTGATTAGTAATGTTAATGGCTCGTCGAAGAGCTTGATGATGGTTAGGGGCTCTCCCTTGAATGCTTCTGGCAAGGAGCAGAGATGTAAGTGATTGATTGGGTTGATTTGGTGTTGTTTTTGTTTTGGGGTCTTGAGCCAGGATTCAAGGCATACTTGCAGTTTGATTTGCTTGACCATTTGCTTGGTGGTGTAACTAAGAGAGATGATGAAAACATATGTAATTTGTATCCTTGTAATTAGGGCTGCAAGTCTGATCATAGATACCCATTGATCCGACTTGAGTCGATCTTGAGAATCGGGCTGAGTTAGTCCGTCTACAAGATTAGGTTAGGGTCGGGTTATGTTTTGGCTCTAAAGGGTCGAGCCAAACAACTTTTTGGCCCTATCACCATAGCAACTAATGATTTGAAATTACCGGGCATGATAACATTGCTTAAAAAAAGCCTTTCTTTTTGCTCGTTCCTCATACCAAACAGGTTGGACATGTTTGTGAAGTTTTAAAATTTCATGTACTATAATGCAAGGAAAAAACATAGAGGAACTAAAATGTAATTTTACCACCAAATTTTTTGCATATTTTTGTAACAAAGTAAAAAAGTGAGGTACTAATTTGTAAGAAAATAAGTTGGCTATCAAAATGTAATTAAAAAAATTATTTTGTTCATTGATTTGACTCGTCCAGCTCGAGAGGGTAAGACAGGGTAGAGGGAAAAATAGGAGCGAGGTGAGTCTGTTTTAGAAATTGAGCGCCCAAAAGCGGGTGAGGTATTATTTTTACAAGGTCAGGGGTGGGTTTGGCCCAGTTTCAGACCTACTTGCAACCACAGGTTAAAGTACAACTGACCTTTGATTTGTAAAAAAAAGGCAAAATACACTTGTATAGCCAAAACTTTAACAATAATAGCCAATTTTGGAAAAATACCACTTATAGCCACTTCCGTCCAATTCTTTAATGGTGTCAACTATTAGGCTGACTGGACAAACGAAAAGGCTGAGCTGGCGAGTTTCTCCATTGCCACGTTGGATTGATTTTAAAAAATTAAAATTTATCAAAACTAAAATGAAAAAGGAACTAAAAATTCTCCACCCATCTCTCCCTTTTCACTTTCCCTTTCTCTCTCCTCGTTTCTCTCTCATCCGCCACAAATCCCTAATTTTCCAAACCACCATAGATCGTCGATTCCCCCACGGCGGAGGTGACGTTGCTTCCCTCTTCGCAATCAGTCTCCCTTCGCGGGATCCCGCTTTTCTCTGTTGCTATGCCGAGTGTAGATATCTTTAATTCCTTGAAATTGTGAAATGTGACCTTGGTCACAGAAGAAGATAAAGAAGGAGGGGAGAGGGAGTTGGTCACAAGCGTCCCCAATCCCATGGGAAGTCGACCCGCCATCATCCCCAATTCCATGGGAATTCACAAGCGTCCCGAGAAACAAAAATCAAAGCTGGTATTCGGCGGGTGGAGCTTGTGCTTGGATCCAGAGCCCCTATCCAGATTCACTGAGTAGAACCGACTGTTGCTGTGGCGGTCGGACGAGGCATGGGTTTTGTAATCGCGACCGGGCGGGGCTCGTTGACGCTTCGGCAATGGCAGAAGTAGAAGGAGAGAACGACGAACACGATTACAGCGGCGGCGAGGAAGGAGAGGGAGAGGAGATTGTGGGAGAATGCAGAAGGTTTTGGGTGACGTGAGGAAGAGATTTTTTTTTGTTTACAGTTTTATTTTAATTAAAAATGATGTGGCATCCACCTGTTATCGAAAGCTGAGTTGTTGATGATTTGTTTGGTGAGTTGGCGCCCAGTAAGTATACCGTTAAAATAACTAACGGTGTCACTGACGCTGTTAAAGTTTGTAATGAAAATGGCTATATTTGTCATAAAACTTTCAAAAATCTGGCTATAAGTGGTATTTGTCCAAAATTGGCTATTATTGTCACAAACGCGAAAGTTTTGACTATGCAAGTGTATTTTGCCTTAAAAAAAAACAAAGATTATATCATATACAAACTAACCACGATCAATTAACATAAGAAAAATACTATTATAGGTAATGTTGAACTCAAGATTTGAACCGTTTTCATCTCGAATTCAAGATTGTCATAAAGTGGATAGAAATAACACAATTATACCACATTTTCTAGAGCAAGAACATTGGAGATAACTTTTTCCGAGAAACAGATTGGTCCATTGGAAACCCTAGCTAGATGGTACATTATATGCTGCATGTCCCATATAGCTGGAATCTTCTTATCTTAGGCTCTGCAATAATTCTTTTTTTTTTTTTTTTGCCCCACAAGAGTACCTTTATTCCCAAGAACACAATGAGTGAATTAGCATTCTCTGATTCGGCAAAACTACTCGATCGTTCATGATCAGATGCTGAAAATGACTGATAGAGGGATTTTGCTACATCTAGCTAGCATGCAATGCAAGCTTAATTATGCCATGCCATGATATATAGATTTCTTTCTTCGCCGGCCCACCTGTGCTTTAGGAGAATCTTATTGCTTTCTTGGGCTTATATATATAGGCCGGTTCTGATCATGAGCTCTGCACTGATCATTTGGTAGCAAGGTTTGCCATCAAATTGGATATTAAGAAGGTTTATGATGATGATGCGTGTAGGTTATATTGTCCCGATGAGTTTGAAGTTTGCACCGCTTAATAAATGGGATAGTCAAATTCGGAACGGTAGAAGATCTCTGAATTAGAAAAGCCTATAACATTATGTCGAGAATCAGATACGGTTACAACAAGTCAAATTATTTAAAGATATTCAATTATCGATCATATACCACTTAGTAACAATAACGACCGTGGCAACTCACAAAACTGGATGAGATATTTACAAAAAGGTTGGTTGCAGTTCTTTATGTACTCATGAGTATGACCTAGCTATGATCCTAGCTACCAAACACATTCAGCCAACAAAACCATGAAGAATTTAGGCAAAACAACACCAATTTTAGTGAAGATGATCATCAAGATGTACTATACCACTGGATCAGTACTGCACCAGATTGCTCCGGTTGCACGGAGATCTGCTTGCCTCGAAGATTCTGCTGCTCCAAAAAAGGTAAATTCAGTGGCGAAGCCGGAAATCTGAGTGAGTGGGGAAAAAAACATGATGCTCAACGCTTTGAACCACGATAGCCTCGGGGGTCAATGACTTAATAACAACTGTTCTATGCCTCATAAACATAGCTACAACCAGCTTCCAATCCTGTGGACAACACTCTCCGCATTGAAATCCTGTCATTAAGAAGAAGCAGCAAAAAAACAAACTCGTTTTCCTAGGGTTGTTAATTGTATGTACAATGTTGCATCCAGCACAATGCCAATGCAATGATAGTAGCTAGCTAGCTAGCTAGATGGAGTAGTTTACCAGTTTCTGATGAACATACGAGCCCAAGTAGATCGCGACACCTCTCGTGATAATAACTCGATAAGAAAGCATACCAACAAGAGTCCCTTCAATCGGGGGGAGACAGCCTTCAAAAAAACTGAAACGATACAGAGAAGATAAGCATGGTCGCTCTGCTGTGCAGAGATGACACGCGCGCATAAATCGAGCTAAACAAATGCACATACACGACCCGTGATCGCCATGCACATGACCCCCATGAGAACAACACACATAATGGGATTCAAAGGTTTTGGATGGAGAAGAGCAGATAATGGAGGAAAAGCTGATCATCATCATCATCCATTGATGCCATGTATATATATATAGCAGGAACAAGAGACCAGAAAAGTGATATTGGCGCGGCTCAATCTGAGATCGTATTTTACTGTAATAACAATCATCACTATGCTCCTCATCAGCTTTCCTTCCAATAATCTTGGTACAAAAATCCGGCCTTCGGATTGAACCCCACCAATATCGCCTTTCTTCGTGCTTCCGAAAAAAAGCACAGCATGCAATTAACCATGATCGGTCAAGTGGAGGGATCACTACAGCTAATTAATTGGTACGTACAATGTTACCAAAAAGCTAATCATTCATCAAAAGTGCAGTCCAAAACTAATTATGTATACATATGCATGGTCCCAATGAGAAAGAAAGAAAGAGATGGATGAATGGATTGATGATATGAATTTGGTGGAGTAGATGGGTAAGGGAAGAGGTGGGTGGGTGAGAAGGTGACTAATGAGTTGGTGTTTGTTTGTTTAGTGATTATTATGTATGATAATTTTGTGTGGGGATATATAGTCTAATTGGGTCAAGTGGGTGGGAGAGAGATCTTCCTAGCTAACAAATCATCATATCATATTATTCCCATAATTCAAAAATGCCAAACAAGTAATAACAATTCCATGAACTTGGTCAATTCAAATCAAAAGACCACCACCACCTTTTCCTAAATTTTCCAAATCCAAAAATGATTGAAAATGAAATAGTGGTACATTCATATTTGACCAAAAGAAGAATATGAAAGTTTGAAGAAATTTCTTTGACTTTACGATGGTCCGGACCTTTCTATCGATCAAAGCAGATGTATATGTACCATAATTTCTGTTATTATCCAACTAAAAATAGATCAATGAAAATAACAAAAAATTGAAATCAATATCATCACATTCTATCGCGAAACCGATATGCGTTTATCATCGGCCTTTCTACGTACGATGAGAACTGAGCACAAGGATATCAGCCAAAACACAAGTAGAAAGATGTAGAGATGAAGTTTTACAAAACTATATGCCAACTTGAGCCATCCATAACGGGAAAACCCTATAAACCAAAGGTGATTAGGGTTTTGCTGATCAGTGGCTATATAATAGCTATGGAAAACGATATATAATAAAACAGTACTATACTGCAAAATCAAATGAAACCCTCCCACCCAATCGATGTAACAGCAACCAAACATATATATACGAGATGGATAGAAAAGATGAGTGGTGGAGAAAGGGTGAAGGCTGCCGGCCGGTGGCCGGAGAGAAGGCGGTGGTGGCAATGGATGAAGGGAAATGGGCCGGAGGGGGAGAAATATATGTATAGAGGCGGTGGGCAAATGAAATGAGTGATCCTTCCTTGGGATGAGGGTTGGAAGAAGAAGAAGAAGAAGAAGAAGAAGGTGGTGAGTGCGTGGAATGATTTGATTAGTAGTTTCTCTTTCGTTTCTTGGTAGGATTTCTTACTAGTTTTTTATATGTAAACAAACCCCAAATCATGTAGAATTAGAAGTAGTTGAACAAATAGTATCAAATGATATCCTTTCCTTGATGAGAGAAAACAACATTTTTTTTCTTCAAAATTTGGAATAATATTTAAGTAGACCCAAAATAAAAATTTGAATTTCATAAAGGAATTCAAGACTCTAGAAGAAGAAGAAAAAAAAATCAGTAAGAAGAAGGAAAAACAAATCTACAAGAACGAAAACTTCTAACTATCGACAAAATTATATTTACATTATTAATATCATGAAAGCAAAACTTTTCACTTTAGTAACCAAACAATAAAAATTGTTTATCCGCATCCAAATGCATATTAGTGTTATATTACGTAGACATTATTATTTACTATCTGACTCCAAAAACCGTCCGATGTTTTGCATGTCATGATATAATTAAATTAGTAAATTAAAATTATCTTGATCATTTACAATTACCGTCATTCATTCTTTGTTATTTTGTAATGTACCTCCTTGTAAATCTCTCAAATTTACCCTGTTACAATATATATATATTCTATTTCATGCTTAGTTTCTACTCAATTGAAGGAGAAAAAAAAAAAAAAGAATTCAAAGCTCCATGCCACGCTTGAAAAAGAAAAGTAATAAAGAAATGTAGACCAAGGAAGTAGGGAAGAAAATCAAAGGAAATTATATTAATCATACACCAAACCCAAAAACAACAACCCAACCGCCTGGCCCCCTTTTCCTTCATTCTGCTCCCACTTTCCTTATTTCTTTCCCTTTTTTCTCACTTTGCTCTAATTAATGGTTGTTCTTTCCTCCTATTACATATTTCTTAGAAAACCACCTTTTCCATAGTTGAATCTAGGAGTAACAATGAATAGGACATGGTAGGTATCTCTATAAAGTATATATTTTTTTACTTTTTGTGGTTAAGTATGAGTAAAGTTGGATAAAATTTTTATGAATACAGGTTGACCTATCTTAATACGTGATCAAAGAAACCCAAAACGCATGTAATTCACATTGCTTGAAGGGTTCGACAATACCCGTAAGAAATGAGTTGAATTTTGATAAGACCGCCGTGGTTAGATCAAAATTGTTATCCTGCCTAGCTAATTTTATATATCATGATCATTAGTGGTTTAAATGTTTGGAAAAAGGAAAAGAGAGAGCATGGTCAAGGAGGGAATAGGATAGTTGGCTTTACATGTATAATTGATTAGTATAATTAGTGTCCTCCTCCATGACAGGACAACCTTTGAAT